AACTGTCTGGGCTTCCTGCAGAGTAACAGCCAAAGGCAGGAAATCCAGCCAGACTCCTGGAAGAGGCCCTGGGACAGTGTGTGCAGTCACCTTTTCTTCATAGGAATGTTTCACATCTTTGTCTTTGCTCTGATCTGTATAATGGGATCTTGTTTTGGCATGGAGCAGGACTTGGCCCTTGGTGCTGGGAGCAAGCACCATATGACACTGAAGCATAGGAATTAAAGCACTTTCTTAAGTCCTTAACTTAGCTCTAGAGCCTTTTTAAACATATTTGCATGCTGCTTGAATCTTCTGAAACACATACCTCTGTCAGAGCACCTGGGGCTGTGCTGGTGCCTTATACAGATCAGACCAGACCTGTGTTCAGTCAGTTTGAAGTGTGAATCTGCCCTAGCCTAGCTGAACACTGGGGCTGGAATTTCAGTGAATTACCTGTGTCCCCAGACCTGTCTCCTCTCCTGTCTGTGCTGGTTAACGTGCACAAGGCTCTAAACAGTTCAGTGTGGCTCCTGGGGGTCTGTTCCTGCTGCATTCAGACAGAGACTGGAAAAGAGAACCTGCAGAAGCCATAAATAGCTGTGGAGCTGGAAGTGAAATGAGAACACTGCTCCTGCCTAGCACTGTGCAGTGGGGGTTGACTCTCTGGGGTCCAGGTGCTGACTGCATTCTCCAGCTCCCTTTCTTTGGGAAGGGGTGCCCCAGGATCCCCCACGGGCACAGCTGTCCATGAGAACCCTCAGCTCCTTGGAGATTCACCCACCTCCACCTTCTCTTAGGTGATCTGTAGAAAAAGAACCTGTCCATAGTTCTGTCCATAGTTTTACAGCTTATATTTATTTGTATCATCTCTTTTGTCTAGGAATGTAAAGTGATCCTAAAATACAACGTGTAATAAAGTCAGTAAGATTTATTGCATCTATCCAAACGTGCCTGGTTTTCCTCCTTAATTTGGGGCAGGGCTGCATGAGAAAGCCTTGTGCTATTTTTGTCTGAAAAAAAAAACCTCTCTGGGTAAACTAAGTGGTAAAAATATAAGTTAAGAAGTCTCTGGGCAAACTAAGAGGTAAAACATGAGCAGGATTGCAAGGGTCGTGTTGATACGTGGCAC